TACAAATTCCTTCACCAACCTTACTTCTTAAATTTATCAACTCCAGCAGGTCTGTTGAGTCCTGACCTTCATGCCTCCTTTTAGGGATTCCCAACCGCCTAAAGCATTCTTGCAGTTCTATCTGATCTGTCAACAGCTTTTAATACCAGCATTTTGGGGGATTCTGTTATCCTGTGAAATTTAATCTCACCTATTTAAGCTTGCAGAAAGTACTGGAGGGAATTATTAACAGATTTTCCCTCATCTTCTTAGAGGATAGTGCTGAGTGATTGGCTGGTTTCCCTAAGGACCCACGGCTGAGAAGTGCTAGTTTGTCAGTAGCATCCTACTTAGCATGTGTGTGAGGCCACAAGGGAGCCTGAAAGACATTTGGAATCAGAATTACATCAATATGCTGATGATGCCTCTGCATCTTCGTTTCATCAAACCTATATCCTTTAGCATTAATGCTTTCTTAACTAAGATGGAAAGAGCCTCCAAACAGCATACTGCTTATGGCTCTAATTAGGCAGCTGGAAATTATGTCGACTTGCCGAAGCATTGGAGCAGCAGACCAGCAGCCTCAGCATCACCACCAGAGAAGTTGTTAAAGATGCAAATTCTCTGGCCTACCCCAGACTACTGAATCAGAAACTCTGGATATAGGGTCCAGTAATCTGTATTTAACAGGTCTTCCAGGTGATTTTACCGCACGCTAAAGTTTGAAATCTCTGCATTAGAGAAAAGGGATGTGTGTCACTGCAGAATGTCTTGTGTGGTGCCTCCCAGTTTTGTAAATTAAGACATTCCTGGGTCAAATCATATTGTTCAATTCATCATCTCAAACAATTTCATATCAAATATTACTGACCTTATGTTAAATATTACTGACAACTAATTTGTATTTGTCACCAAAGGATGAGAAAACTTCATATTCTGTACTCTCTTCCCTCAAAGAATGAGAAGTAGACTACAGCTTTAGATATATACATGCTGAAATGTCTAATGGTACAGTATTTCCCTAACATACAAATCATGTTCCCAAATCCCATCTAAGTCCATGACCGTAAAACAACAGAAATGCTTGAGAAAAATTCTAAATGCCCCAGTTTCTCAATCTTCATGACTGTAAAGAAATCAAGTGAGGTTCGCCGGGCGCGTTTGCGTGCATGCCCAAGATCCCAAGAGGAGAATGGAGGAGAAGGGATTGTGGCATGGCCATCCCCTCTGGAGGGTGATTTCTCGCTTTCTATCTCTCTGTCTCTCTCTGTCTGTCTGGCAAGCGCACGCGCCCTATAGCAAAAACCTCTCCAAAAAAAAAAAAAAAGGAAAGAAATCAAGTGAGGTTGAAGTATGAATGTATTGAGGGTGGGAAGCATAGGGAACACAAAAGGAATACAAAAATGTTGGTACACTATTAAAGTTTTCATTTTGCTTAAAAAAATGTGTCCTACACTGTAATCTCTTAAAACCCCTATCTTGAAGGACATACATGCTATTGGACCTCTACTCTCAGGACTTACCAGTTCCATGAGTGTTAGTATTTTAATAAACTGGACTCTATTTTGATCTACATATACAAAACCAGGTGATGGCCATGACCAATTAACACTAGAACCTCTACAAACCCCAGAAATCCCCAATTCTAAAAAAATATGAGCCCTGGCCAATGAGTCAACCTTAAAACATAGTATACGTTGCATACTATGACAAGGTATTACTTATTTTTCTTTTTTTCATATTGAGAAATTTTGCTTAAAATTTTCAGATGTAACTATGTCTACAGCTTTAACATTCCTTAACTTGGAAGGTTAATGCTAGAAACCATAGGTGCTAATTCTCATCTGAAAACATCCATTCTAATATCATTTTTTGAATCCATCGTGGTAGACAGGAGGAAGACAAAAGTGACAAAGAGAAATAATCATGGCTTTTCTCTCATGGAGTTCAAAGTCAAGCAGTTTTGAGATCATATGATTTGTTTTGTAAATAGCAATAAACATTGTTTATTCTTCTAGTTTTAATTGAGCCCCTGATCCACCTGAGTACTAAGCTCTACTGAAAGGATGTGAATTGTTATCCCAAGGACCCACTGCTTCCTCTTTGGTAACCATCATTCAGCCCCCTAACATTGTCCTTCTACCAAGCTATGCCTAGATTTTGAACTTTTCCTTCCTATAATTCAGTCACACTGGCCTACAGCCTAACCTTTTAATTAGCCCCTGAGTAGTCTACCTGCTTCTGACCCTATCATCCTATAGTCAATCTCAACAGAGTAATCATTTCTAAATTTAAGCTGGATCTTGGCACTTCTCTGCTCAAAACAATCCAATGGTTTCCTCTTCGAGAGTAAAAATCTAAATATCTTATGAATGACTATAAGACCTTGCCCCATCTGCCACTTACTTACCCTCTCTTGCTCTATTTTAACCACGCTGGTTTTTTTGTTTGTTTGTTTTTTTGGTTTTTTTTTGTTTTTTTGAGAGGTTTTCGCTATAGGGCACGTGCGCTCGCCCGACAGAGAGAGACATAGAGACAGAAAGCGAGATATCACCCCCCCAGGGGGGATGGTCATGCCGCAATCCCTTCTCCTCCATTCTCCTCTCAGGATCTTGGGCACGCACGCACACGCACCCGGCGTGAGATTTAAGCCACCGGGTCGGAGACGCGAACCGCGGTTGACTACGTGGGAGTCCAGCGACATAGCCATTACGCTAACTGCTGGTTCCCACCACGCTGTTTTTTATTTCTATTCCTAGAAGTCTAAGAGAGTTTCTCAGTCAAGGGCAAATGTATTTAGAGTGGCCTGGAATGATTTTCTTCCAGGTAACTACCTCCCCTCAATAGCAATGCTCAAAAATCATCTGTGAGAGAGGGCTTCCAAAGTCATCCTATGTAAAATGGTAACTCCTTCCTTGGTTTCTACCATACCTCTTTCCCCACATAAAGCTTTATATTCACATACATTGTGTGTGTGTGTGTGTGTGTGTGTGTGTGTGTGTGTGTTCCATAAAACTAATTACATTTTTTTAAGGAATTATTTTATTTCACTGTATTTATTATTTAATTTGACCAGAGAGGGACAGAGCAAAAATGAGAGCAAGAGAGAGGGAAAGTGAGAAAGCAAATCATCAGGTCTGAGGCCACTTGAACAGTGGTTGGCCATGTGGGAGTCTGGTGATCTTAACCACCATGCCACCTGCCAGTCCCAAAACTAATTACTTTTCAGAATACTATTTTTGTGGCATTTATTTGATTCTTGGGTACTTCTCACTAGATACAAACTCTATAAGAGCATAAAATTTTATATGATTTGTTTATTGCTGCATTCAAATATGTTAAAATGAAATCTGGAACATAAGAGATACTCAAAGTAAGTCAGAGAAATGAATAAATAATTTTACTACCTATATTTTCTTTATCTTTTTTTTTTCTTTGAGAGACTTTTGTTATAGGACAAGTATGTTCACCAGAGATACAGAAAGAGAAATCACCCCTCAGGGGTAATGGCCACGCCAAAGTCACTTCTCTTCCAAACTCTTCTTGGAATTTTGAGCACTCACGCACACGCTCCTGGTGTGAATTTCAAGTCAGAGGGTCAGGGATTTGAACCAAAGTAGACCATGAGGAAGTCCAGTGCCTTAACCATTATGTCACTGCTGGCCCCCTATATGTTCCTAAGTAATTATCTTTTCTCAGTTTTTTGTATGTTTTACCTAACACAAAAGAAATAGTTAGCATCCACTTCTAGTTACACATGCTAATGTAAGAGAAAGTGTGAAGTAAGTTGATATTGTCATTCAGGGTCATCTTCCCTTTTCAACCTTCAAAGAGCAGCATTTTGTAATGAAAACTCTGACATTGAGATCAGAAGAACGATTGAAAATATTAACTCCAAAACGTATTTCTCAAGTGCTTATTATTTCCTAGGATCTGTACTATGCAGGAGGATATAAATATAAACAAATTCATTTCTGTCCTCTTTTAACATTGACAAAGTTACTTAACTCCACTGTAGCTATTTTTTCTTTTCATTTGAAAATGACATGATTATTCTAACTGATGCCTAAGACTATATACTTCAGTAAAAACTCGTGTGATTATAAGACCATCTTGGACTTTAGAAAATGAAGTCTAACAAGAGAGACTAAATAAAGAAATGCCCAGAGAATAAAGGTGATATTTGAAACCAGCCATGAACCAGTGGTGACTCTGATCTTTTACAAAGATTAATTTATAATGTGGTTAATCTCCATGTGACAAATTACCTATTGACTACAGTTATCATTCTTGCCTAATATTGAGGCTCCAAACATGTTCAGGCATTCTAAAGCAAATCAAATTCATAATACTGATTTGAGTGAAATGAGTAATTTATCTTTCTATAAATATATTTGGTTCTTGTCCTCAGAACTAATATCCTTTAAGAATCATTGTCTTTGTCTAATAGCATTAAAATCTGAGAGATCCATGGTACATGTAAACAGCTGATGCCTCATCAAAACTAGGCACCAGTCACCTGTAAGAAATAAATGGTTTCAAACCTGTCATTTTTTAGTAAGTTAACTAATTATCAATTCTGAATAGTGCTTATATTACAGCTCTTCTTGAAAATAATGTGGCAAATTCTTCAATTTGTATCATGGCAAAATGAATTGACTGTAACTATGACCAAGATATACATCTTTGAATGCACTTTGTAAACTTGGTTTATGAAACATTCCACTCTTACTAGTTAAATAAAATACATTTTAAAGATATTAACACTGACAAGAAGAATCACTTGTACACTGACAAAGATAAATTACTCATGTAATCTAAATTAGTATTATAAATTTTCTTTTGGTTGGCATGTCTGAATTAGAAAAAAACAATTATGTGTAGACCTGAAATTTTTAAATTTGCATTTGACAATTTCAAGAACATTCTAATGATTTAAGCTAGAGAACTGTACATGAACAGCTTCATCTCCTAAAATCTGTTGGATTACAACTCCGTATTTTCTGATGGTTCCATTTTACCTCCTCAGGGACGGCTCTTATATTAACAAAGCCTTTTCTGAAGACGACGAACACGCGGCGGGCTCCACAACGCAAAGCGGATGTTGCACAGTCAAAGGCAGTGTCTCCAGCTCCGAGTACAATCACGGCTCCCCGTATGGATGGCAATGGAGAGTGACAGGCACACATTCCTGAATGATGAAAGGAAAGCCCCATTTTCAAGTAGAGAAACCATTTCTGCATGACAGCTCAAAAGATACTTGTACTCAAAGCAGTGTAAAATTGCATCTTGCAGTTTTCGAGGATGGAGTGTCACTATCAAATTATTCTGCTTCATTGAAAGACAGTTTTATTCCCATTTTAAAAATATGCTCATATATGTAATTTCATAGTCAGTACCTTTAGCTTCCCTTTTCCTTTTAGAAGGATTTCAACAACACAGTTTTGAAGCATTTAGGTCATAACAAACTGTAATCAATCAATTAAAACTCTTTGTCAAAGCCATGATACGTATTTTTAACTTAGCATCGTCAAACTTCTATGTGTTCAAAAGTAAAAGTTATCCTACAATCTGGACGAACAATTTATAGCATTTCATATCTTACAGAATTTCTAACATGTGGCCTTGCTATTACTTTAGCAAAATTGAAAATTAATATGCTGATTAAGTATACTTTACGTAATTGAAAAATTTCTGAGAACTATTTTCCTGAAATGGTTTAAATAAATCTTTCTCCTTTTAAAGACTATTCTCTGATTTTGATTGTGAAATTGAGCAATGAGAGAAACATGATTTTCTACATGTCTGTTTCTCAAGGGCATCTATATGAAAAATTGGTATCCACAGGAAAATCCTGTAGAAAAGTAAAATGGAGTTATCCTTATGTATTAGACAGCACTGTATTATCAGATTAAGTAAAACTGTTGATAAATTACTATAATTTTTGAAATAGCACCACAGATAGAATAGCTTTATAACCTCAATAAGTATAATCATTTTGTGTGGAACACTTTGTATTGTGAATTACACAATTGACACTCTGTAATTCTCAAATATACTCTAGGTGCACTATGACCTTCTTCAGAAAGGTTGCCAGCACACAAGCACCCAGTACTTCTGGGAGGAAGAAGGTGGAGATGGTGTACATCTTTAGCTGTAACTTCTTCAGAATGATTTAATAAAGAAAGTTTCTTATTTTTAAAATTGGAGCAAAAAATGTAGTTCTTATCATTTCCACATGTAATTAGAGGTAGGAATAGCTATAGCTCAGACTTCTTTAAAAATATATGTTTAGAGGATTTAGATGGTCTGGTCTGGGGGAAAAATACGACAGACTGTATCACTAAAACAATGACTCTAGTCAAGCCAAAGCGTAGTATAATCATAGCTTCAGGTCATACTTCTCTGAGTGAATAAAGAGGTAGGGCAGCTATCAGAGAGATTTCTTTTAATTTCTTAAAATTACTGTTTAAGAAGAGACCTTGAATCTTTCTGCCTGCATGAATACGAATTACATTAGATATGTGATGATTTGTGCTATTCTAAAATAGTTCCCCAATGGAAGCTCCTGCTATTTCTTTTAAGAACATTTTCCAATGTTTGTTAAAGACTCTTACTTTGAAGCAATTTTTCATGATACAGTTTAGATCTGCATACAATTCAGTTTAAAATCCTTATGATGATGCTTTATTGGAAGAATCAACAAAACAGATGATTCTGGCCAACTTATATCTGGCATCATTTTTACTTTACACTGTTATAATTCAAGGCTTGATTTCAGATCTGGACAATGTCTTACTAAGCTTGCATTTAATATAATATAGAATACAGAAAAAACATAGACAACATTAAGAACAGAAGACACTACATTATACCTGCTTTACTGCCTTTGGCTACAAGTGGCAAAAAGTCTTTAGATGTGTAGAACCCTTGTTCCTGCGTCAGGCCTTGGAAAATGTTGTCTTTATTGGGTTCTGGTAAACCTGATTAAATAAAGTTCACAAAATATCATTAGCAAGAAAAAGAACTTTTTCTAATGGATTTTAAAACAAAGAAGAAAACTATAATATTTAAAATACGAAGGCTCTACAAAAAGTTCATGGAAAAGGTGTACTATGAAAAAGTATGCATTGATTTCTTTCTTTCTTTCTTTTTTTTTTTTTTTTTTTTGCACCAAGATAAACTCATACTAGCCCAGCCACTATGGTGCAGTAGTAGTGCTAGTGCCCTGCAAGGCTGGAGGTCGTGTGGCTGACCACCAGCTTAGATACCCTGTCCCCTGTAGGCCTGAAAATGAGCTGAGTCTCTGCACAAGCAAGCATCCAGGATCCTGAGGAACTGTAAGGTTGGAGAAGAGAATCATGGCAATTTAAGACCTTGTCAAAGGGGCTACTCTCATTCTTCACATTCTCTCTCTTGTGTGACACACATTCTGTCATAAAGCTAAAATCAAATCAAAACAAAACTTGTATTTAGTTCCCTTTTCATAAACTTTTTTTTTTTGGAGAGATTTTTGCTACAGGGCGCGTACCTTCGCCAGATAGATGACAGAAAGCAAGAAATCAATCCCCAGGGGGATGGCCATGCTACAGTCCCTTCTCCTCCATTCTCCTCTTGGGATTTTGGGCACGCACACACATGTGTCTGGCATGAGTTTAAGCCACCGGGTCCAGGACTCGAACCACAGTCTACTACATGGGAGTTCAGTGACATCGCCATTACGCTAACTGCTGATTCCCCTTTTTATAAACTTTTTGAAATCCTCTTTTAATATTTTACTTGCAGAAACAAAAATCTGTAAGCAAATCAACATAAAAATGTACGTAACACAATTTAATAGACTTCAAAGTGTACCTTTGATATCTAACTAAGCAAACATAAAGCATATATTAATGTACGCATACACATATACAGAAACATATATATATACATAGATACTGACACATACAACACAAAAAGTGTTAAGGAGAAAATCATGTTCTATTCTTCATGTATAAAAAATATTTTAGATATATTAAAGTACAAGATATTTTTTTAAATTTTAAAATATGAATTTCTATTTATCTAATTTATGAATAAAAAAGATCATTCTTAAAAAAAAGAAAAGAAGGGGAAAATCTCAAAAAAAAAGTATATTTTACAACAAAAATTCAGCCACTTTTACATTTCAGACATTTTATAAGCAAGCAAAAATGCAAATGATTAACCCGGAAAATATTTTAAAGATTAAATGTCTTTACTGTACAAAGAGCTTCTCCATATCGATAAGGAACATATTAACTTTCAATAGCAATACAAAAAAAGAATAATGAAAATTGGGAGAAAAAAATAGATTATTAGCACTAAAAACGTTGACTCTGTTAATAATTAAAGAACTGCAAATAAAAAAAGTGAGTTATAACTTCTCTATTAAAAAGTAAAGGATTGGGACCAGCAGTTAGCGTTAATAGCTATGTCGCTGGACTCCCACATAGTCAACCGTGGTTCACGTCCAGGACCCGGTGGCTTAAAACTCACGCCGGGTGTGTGTGTGTGCGTGCCCAACATCCAGAGAGAAGAATGAAGGAGAAGAGATTGAGGCATGGCCATCCCCCCCTGGGGGATGATTTCTCGCTTTCTGTCTCTCTGTCTCTCTCTGTCGGTCTGGCAAGCACATGCACTCTATAGCAAAAATCTCTCAAAAAAAAAAATAAATAAATAAAGGATTTAAGAAATTCAAACCACACATCAAGAATAGAGATGGAACTTGTCGTAGTTTTTAGGAAAAGATATGCACTTGTGCTCCATTTCTAGAATACAGTTTTGATTCTATCCTAAGTCAACACTAAGACATGCAATTAGAAGTTTAAAGTATAAAGGGCCAGCAGGTGGCATGGATGTTAAGAAAATGGATTCCCACAAGCCCCACCAGGGTTTGAGTTGTGTTTCCAGTGGCTTGAAAATCACACTGGGTGCATGTTCATGCATGCCCCAAATCCTGAGAGGTGATGAGAAGTTACTGTGGCATGGCCAAACCCCCTGGGGGGGTATGCTCTCACTTCTCACTCTCACTCTCTCCAGAAAGCACGTGCACCTTATGCCAAAAAATTTTTTAAAAAAAGTTTAATGTAAGAAAAATAATCTATGCCAAAAAACAAAAGAAGAAGAAAAGAAAAGAAGGAAAGAAGAAAGAAGAGAAGGAGAGCAGGAAGAGCAAAGAAGAAAGGCAGGAAGGCAAGAAGGAAGGAAACCTGAATGCCAACTGGATATGAATAAATGCTCTCCTTAAGAAAAGAGAGAGACATGGTCCAGGCACAATGGCACAGTGGCGAGCACAGCACTCTGCAGTGCCGGATGTCATATGAAGATTGGGGTGGGTTCTCAGGTGGTATCTGTGGGCACATACGCACCCAGGATTGTGGCTGTGAAAGGCTGGAGGGAAGGCTTGTGACATGAGACCCTGTTGTAGGTGCTCATCTTTCTTTTTCTCTTTCTTCTTTTTTTCCTCTCTCTCATAAAAGGGATAAGTAAATAAACATATTTTAAAAAGAACAAGACGCAGTCATTAAAAGAAATATTTGAAAAATACAGAATCAGATTAGAGTCAAAATATAGTGTTATATGAACTAACAAGATAAAAAAAATTTTTGTATTGTATTATTCAAATTTTTAACAATGGATACGTGACATAAGCTGACCAGTACTCATTTCTGATAGTGAGATATGAATATTGTGTTTTTCATTATTTCCTTTAATTTTTTTACATGTATGTATTAACTATAAAATTTTTAAATAATTGCCAAAATTTTTAAAAAGAAATGAATAGCAGAGTGATTTTTTTTCAAAGCATGAAAGAAGTGAATCTTATAGCAATCATCTTATCCTAGAAAAGTGTAGAAATAATTGATCCCAAATCCATATACACAGGTAAATAATTATATTTAGTGTCCAATGTCAGCATCCGCCCCAGGGCTTGGGTCTGGCTGAATCATGATCAGGGGGCTGTTGGTGAGGAATAGAAAGGAGATGAGAACAAGAAAGCTCTCCATCTTGCCAGGACTGGAGAATTGGAAAGAATGAGACAGACATAGAGTAGAAATGGACACAGGCAGTCTGAGCCTAGGTAGCCCAAGCAACTTGTGCCGGAGCTGAGCCACTGCTTGAGTTCCTTGAGTTGCTTGAGCCACCCAGACAAACTGGGCCTCTTTCTTTATAGTACAAGGAGACATTACACATGTATGTTTTATGACACTTCATAGATTGGTTGCCAGGTTACAGACAATAAGAAGTAGTTAACAAATCTATAAGGGCTTAGTCATACTGGGCCAGGTGTATCCTTGGTGATAATCCCTTCAAGAGAAAATCTCATCTTCTTTTCTAATGCAGAGAAACCTAGCTGTTAAGTGTGGGGAAGGAGCTAAAGAACTCCATAAGGAGTACACCATCACACCCAGAGAAGGCTAAAGAACCTTTCAGATGCAGAGCAGGGGTTGGACTTTACTAATTGGGGTCAAGATGTTTCTTGAAGTCCATCAGATGTGTCTGTTGGAATGCCCCTAGTAATTTCCACCCTTGCTCTGTTTGCAGCCAAGGTCAAGGAAAGACAAGTTACAAGGTTCTGCCAAACCCCAAAAGAGCAGGTGGTGTTTGCTCAGAGCATGTCCCCACACCTCAGATTCTCTCTCTTAAACGTGTCCCCACAGTCCAAAATTCCTTCTACCAATGGGCTATTTTAGAGAGATATCAGTTAATTTTAGAATTAAATAGAGGGCAATGTGTAATTGCTGGTATACACAAAGAGTAACAAGCATTAGGGCCAGCAGGTGGCATGATAGTTAAGGTGTTGTACTCCACATGGCCACCTGTGGCTCAAGTCCTGAACCTGGTGGTTTGAAATTCATGCTGGGCATATGCACCTAGGATCCTAGGAGGAGAATGGAAGAGAAAGGATTGCGGCAAGCCACCCACCCAACCCCCTTGGGGAATGATTTATCATTTCCTCTCTCACAGTCTCTCTTGCTTTCTCGGCAAGCACAACCACCTTATGGCAAAAACCTAAAACAAACAAACAAATAAATAAATAAGAATGACCCAAGGATGACTTTTGTCATGTAAGGTATGGTAGATGCCATATCTGATCTAAAAGCTGAAGGTTTTTGTGGGTTGTATATATACAATAAACCACTTTTAACTCTTCAAAGCAAACCAAACATTATTCCTCATCCAAGCTCTCTTCCATGTCTTCCCCTTAAATATTTGACCATAGATTAAGACCTTTTGTTTTAAAAATTATTTTAATTATTGCTGGGTTCATAAAAAGATACCTTAAACTTATGGCATTTTTTGGCACAATGAGCAATTTTATCTGAAAGAAATTAAAAGGCCTGAAAAGCAGGCTCAGAATTAAAGGTCTCTCTAAACTCCCAACCACATTGTTTTTTCTCGCCAGAAGACAGGGAGGGGGCTTTTTCTAAAGTTTCCCTTATCTGAATTTGTCTTGAATACTCTTTTGAGAAGACTCATTAAGCAAGCAGAGAAGATGAATTTCTATCACAAGAAAGGACACTAAAGGTCTACACATCCAGAATACCTCTAGAGTAACCCAGGACAGACACTTCACATACTCTTCTGAAGACTGTTGTCCAGGAGAATTTATCTGTATAGGAAGACAGCCTTTGCTCATCTTGTATTCTCCCAACTTCCCATAATTGGTCATTGTCTCTTTCCAAGATTCCCTATTCCTTTCTACAACTCAAAATGCTATTTAAACTTCAATTTCATCTTGTCTTTGAGTTTCAAACATGTATGACTCCTATGCACATGCATGCTAATAGACTTATAATGAGTTTTTTCTTATTCATTAGCCTGTTGTTGTTTTATAGATACAAATTCCAAAATTCCAAAGGGATTGGAGGGGGACAAGGTGGTAACACAGTGCTAACTCAACTGAACTCACATGAGAAAGGTCCTGGGTTTGGATCCCAGGACCTCCTTGACCATGCTG